ATCGCCTCGAGCATGACAGCAGGTCCTATAACTCTCATCGCTGTCGATATGACATTGTCAGCAGCTTCTTTGTGTTCAAAGTTCTTCTGGATCCGAAGGTCGGCAATTTTTTCTACCAGTGGTAAAAGCAAAGTCTCGGCTGCGAGTGTCGAAGTGCCGTTTTTGAGGCGCATGTTGAGGTTCAAGATGAGCGAACATACGACACGTAGTAACTCTGGGATGGCCGACGCGTAGGCCAAAGAATCCAAAGCTTTCGTAATTTGCGCAATAGCAGTCCTGACGGGTGATTTACTATCTGGTGCATCCACCACAGCTGTGCGAGCCATGGGCAACGTAATGCACCCAGCGAGCGATTCCAGTGCTTGTGCAGCAGCTTTCCGTGCTTGCGCATGGCTTGTCTCGAAGAAGGACCATACAGTTTTCCAAACTTTGATGAATTCCCGTGACGACGCTTCTGGATCGGCAGAGCGATAAGCAAGCATGACATCCCCCAGGACTCGCAACCACGACGAAGCGATAGTGATATCCGACTTTGGAGGTGGAGACGACAGTACGGCACTCAGCACTACGGGGATCTGCTCTGTACTACTTTGAATACCTGAGTCGACCGAAGCTGAAAGTAAGTCGGAAAGAATCGAGTAGGAAGACTGTGATAAATATGGGTTTCCAAGTCTGGGGAAAGTGAGAAGGATGGATGTAATGGGTGGAATGGCCTTTCATGCCAGTCAGGGGCTAATTCGAGCACTGGAACATATTACTCACCCCGAGTGGGAGATTGGGCAGAATAGGACGCAGCAATGCAAGAAGACGGATGGCGTTGTCAACCGAAAACTCCTTTGTGGTGGATTTCGATTTTGGTAACACGCCAGAGCTAGCCTGAAGAAGGGAATTTTGCATCCACTCGGCGAGGCGTTCGGCATAGGGATGGCGTAGAAGTGGGCTTGGTGGATTTGACAATACATCGTTGACCAGATCGACGGCGCGCTTGCGCACCTTTGGTCTTGGATCTAGACACAGTTGCAGGACGGTTGCAAAGGATTGGCGGACAGCGGGCGTATCCAATTGCGATCGGTCAAGAACATGGAAAATGGAGTTGTACAATGTGAGCTGAGATCTTAGTGGGGGCGCATGGGCCGAAAGAGAGGGGAACAACGGCGCGGTGAGCGAGAGAAGGGTGCCCAGATTTGACTGGATGACCGGACGGGGAACGAAGGGTGCTACCAAAGCAAGCAGGTAGAGAATGGCTGGTAGGACATCTCCATCACCTAGCGCAGTGTCTTTCTTTTGCAGTGTGCCATCAAGAGTGGTTGTCAATGCGGCGAAGTAGGCGGTCGGTGTGCGATCGGTGTGGGTCTCTGTCAGGGTTGACTCGAGTGCATGGAGGAGCGTCGCGGGTGTTTTTTGATGGGGAAGTGAAGAAGACGTGTGCGGTCGAATTTTTGCCAACGCCGTCTCCATGATGAACTTGCTAGGATCAGGTCAAGGATCGTACACTTGGTACTATCTGATCGACTCGGATGGTATGAGGAGATTGAGCTGATGTAAAAGCGAATTGAAGTAGAAAAGAGCACAGCTTGACCCGTGCTAGCTGACCATGCCACAGGGCTCTCCTACACCCTGGTCGTACACTCTTGTCCGGTCAGTAACTCGTTCTCCTTCCTATACACCTCCATTCAGCCACCTGCCAGCCTTCTCTTTCACTTTGTCCTCAAGATATTCTATGGAACGATAGTCGTGGAAAATACTGAATACATACCCACGACCGGAGAACCTTGGTGAGAGAAATTCCACCGGGTGCCTGTCAATGTGTCTCAGCGCTCGACCTTAATCCAAATCCAGCATCGTATGTGCAAACCACAGCAACTCACTGACCGATGCTCTGTATGCCACTTCTCGTTCCATCCAGTGTCGTCCTCATCCCTATTGTTACAGCATCCTAGCCACCTCCATCCCCCCGGGGGTAATCATGCGCAATTACTCCGATATCTGTCTGCTGAGCTGTATTTGCTAGACGCGCAATATGCTCCGGTTAACTGCCAAGTCTACCCAATTCGGGCGTAAGACATTCACCAGTTGGCTAATCGAGTCTGCCGGGACTGTCCCCATAAAGAGACGCAAGGACTTTGCTGAAGGAGATGCCGACAACTCCGAGGTGATGGAAATGCTCATGCAGGTATAAATTTACCATCAGTGCCCCTTGGGTGTAGCGCAGCTCATCTAGGTCTTGCAGGCACTCGAAGCTGGTGACGCCGTATGTTTGTTTCCAGAGGGCATGAGCCGCTATCATCCCACTATAGCTCCCATGAAAACTGGTGGTTCGTCTGTCCATGGCCCCATCGACCACATTCGCTGAAATTTCCATCTTTAGTCGCGAGACTCGTCTCTGATGTTCTAACCCGGAATCGCGATAATCCCCACTTTTCCATATCTATTCTCACCTGTTCCATCACATATATGTAAGTAATTCTAGATGGTAGCCTTTGCCCGTCAGTGACCTTTGAAAGGCACCGACAGCATTTCCGCTCCGATGTGCTGGTTACTTTCAATCCTCCCATGAAGTTCACGCCCAAGGTACGTACAAGCAAGGTTACTTCGTACTTTATCCTCAACTACTTTGTATAGGACAACCCAGAACTCCTCGCGCCTGTGAACTTTGCTTGCATCCGAGACGTCACAGAACGGATGTACCAGCTGATCAGTTCTCGAACTATTGACGCGCCTTCTTGGGATTTGATTCGGTCTGCAAAGCTTGCCACTCGTATCTATGTCCCGCTAGGGACATCGATGTCTTTAGGGGACTTTGTGCGTGTGACGCGAACGTTCGTCGAAGCATTCAAGCTACCCGAAACAGAAGGCAAGGAACCTGTTCGGCGGGAAAAGGAAGTCGACGATATCAATAGACTACGTGAGGACTTGAAGGTAACTCGCGTTTCGCCAAAGAAGCGACATCCCCTGTTTACCAGGTTCCACAGCGGTATCAAGACAAACTTGTATACTGGGGCATCAAGGACGACCGCATCCGACGACCATTACGCCGGCGCACGGTAATATTCCGGATGTTCATTCGTTTTGCCTGGTTCCTCTGTCTGATATCCATATCCCTTCCCGGACTTGTATTGTGGGCGCCGGTCTTCGTCACGACCTTTTACGGTGTACACAATTTCAAGAAGAGCGGGCCCAGTTGGGACACATGGGACGAGATTGCACAGTACAAGCTCGTATATGGCCTCTTCTCGGGAGTTGTTGTCTGGATTTCCGCCGTTCTGCTCACTCTCCCCTTCGCGACGATCACCGTGATCCTGATTCCCGCGATCCTGACGCCCGCACTGATGTGGATGACGTTGAGATGGCTCGAGGATGCAATATCGGCTTTCAGGGCGTTCACCGCTTTGTTACGGCTCCTCCGGGTGGGCCCGGCAACGCTGAAGGAACTCCGCGAAACGCGGGGTGATCTACACTTGCGTATCATGAATGCGGCTGTGGGAACCCTTGGTCTCCCGCATGACCCGGAGAGACACTTTCTGGAAAGTGGGGGTCGGGAGAAGGGCCGGGTCAAAAGCAAATGGGATAGTGGTGCCAAATATTTTTCGATGCGGAGGAGAAGGAAAAGAGATTGGAACGAAACACTACGACTATATGATAAGGTGGACTACCCCGATGAGGGGTTGTGACGAGCCTGACGCATCTTATGAGTTTGCATTAGAATATTTAAATTGGTGATCGTTGGCAATTTCGTTAGGACTAGCGACCCATGACCAAAGAAAATGTGAACTCGACCTAGGCTAAGTCCAGGACGTGGGTATGGAAGAGCGTTCGAGAATACAATGGCTGAATGCAGTCATAATAGAAGGGGACAGGGGACATGGAAACACTCGATCGTTAACAAATGAATCATCCTCGAATTGGCTGATAAGCTCGGTTCCCGGCGGCCCATTTGTGACCACGGTCAGCAGCAATGCCGGTCACAATGACAGCACAACCAACAAGGAAGCCGACAACCCAAGAGATCGTATTGAACACGTAGCCCAGCCCTGCAAGAGATGAATACCGATTGAGTTCCTCGTACAAAGATACCTTACCGGGTTTAGCATGTTCAAAGGCAGCAAAAGAGTTCTTGCTATAAAGCTCTGTCACAAGAGCGAATGTGACCAGTTGGAAGATGGCTGGGAAACGTTGGTTTCAGACCACGAGAAGACGGCGAGTTGCCTACCGTGGAGTATAACTAGGCCTGCAACGGCTCTCCAGACCCTGCGACGCCTGGAGTGTGTGCTTGCGCCGATGAGTAAGGCTGCCAGTGCCATGGCGGCGAAACCGATGCCGAGCTCAGTGAAATACTGAGCAGACCCCCATTTGGCACAGGAGATCCGATTTTCGTCGTCACATCCATCCTGAACACCGAGAGGGAAGGGGCGACATTGGTAGTCGGAGTATTCGAGACGCCCGCTTGGGCCAGGGATGCTGACAAAGGAACGTTCGCAGCGTTGTGTCAGTCCGTAGCGGATCGTGGACGTGGCGTTTGCGAGGTCAAATCCATAAGTCGTGACGAGCCTTGAAAAAAAGGGGTCAGGTGTGCTGGCTGAGAACACATGGTTCTGGCGAACCAGTCGGGGTGACGTGCTGACAAGATGTTCTGGGGCGAAGATGAGCGGCGGAGTTCAGGGGGTCGGAGTGCACTTACGATGACAAGAACGACAAAGACGGTGATAAAGGTGACCACGTATGATGTTTTCCTCATGGCTGGAGGCAGGAGGATGGAAGGTGAAGGGAAAGATGAGAAGTGTGCATGATCGTCTGAACTAATAACTGGTGACGCTCCCCTGGGTCAGGCTTATGTAAATGGGATTGGCAGGCTGTCGCTATCTTCTTATCGTCCACCATTGGCGCAATTCTCTCGCTATATTGGACGTCGCGAATGAAGTCAGATTGCGATCTGATCCTGTGATTCCCAGCGAGTGGAGCGGTACCACACGTCTACCACCATGGTCGCGAGACTGTGTCGCGTCCTTGTCGATTAGTGGTTAAATCATCACGTTGTGGAACACCAAACCGTGAAGCCGGAGGTTCGAATCCTCCCTGGGACAGATTTTTGGGGCGGCCACGCTGCACTGCAAGAGTGGGAAATTGACGTACGAAAATTCCGACTCCGGTTTGTGATTGCACGGCACATTCGCGAGCCTGTCTGTCTCTTTGTCATCGTCGTCGCACACGGCGACCATCGATTGAGTCCTCTCGCCCGAGAGCGTCCCTCCGCAGCCGTGTCTGCAACCATCCACGCCCGCCCCCATCCGCACCGCACCGCCTGGCACCTCTGGCTCATGTCCTTGTCCGTTGGCGGCCTCGGGCTTCTCTCCCCATGGACACACCTCGACCACACAAGAGCAGGCTTTCGGTCCTTTGTCTGCGCTCTCGTCGTCCTCGCAGTCCTCCTCATCCTCGGTGAGCGTCCTCCACATCTCCCACTCAATTCCTCACCCTCTCCCACCAGCCTACCTCTCCAATCCGACAGAGATCTCTTTCAGGACCTACCTTACTGAACAGTCTTTCCGCCAACACTTGAGCCACTTGGACGATCTTACAGACGATTCTGGACCCGAACTCGACTGCAGTCCGCGCACCCACACCTCTGACCGCAACTCCACCGTAGATCGTGCCACGCTCCCCTTCCATTTCGCTAACCGTGCTTCCGTGTCCCTCCGTACCCCCAAACATGTTTTCCACAGCTTTGGCATTTGCACAATTGCCACCACCCGAGGGGCTGCTGTCCCTGCCGGTGGCCGTCGCGCATCCGGCTCACACAATCACGCTCCCCATCGTTCTGATCTCGATGGCTTCGTGGCTTCGGATTCTTGGTTTATCGGTGCCTTTGGACGCTGGTGGCATGGTGGTTTTGTCGAGTCCTGGTATTACGATGCTATGATCCGTTCGAAAGATGCCCAAGCTTGGAGTTCGGGCATTCTTGGCTTCAAGGCCCTGGACAAATTTCATGACTACAATGGTAAATTCCTCCCAATCGCCCGCTCATCTCCGTCTCTTAGTGTTTGACTAGGCCTCCCGTTCGCCAAGTTTACTCCGTGTCCTCGCCCATCATTACGTGGATCGCCTCCCAAACTGCGTAATCGGGAACGTTCCACTCAGCGGCCCAGCTCTATCCCCCATCGTAATTCTTCGCCGCCACCGCTACCAAAGTCTGCGTCCCTGCCTTTGCATGCCGATCATCGTCTCCATGATTTCCTACCAGTGGTACCACAGTCCTCCCACTTGATCACGGACCAGAAGCGTATCGCTGTTCATGCTCCTCCGGTTGCTCACACCATCTCTCGCACTTCGTCTGCCTCTGGGACCTCCGATTATTCTCCAACCATTGCCGCAGTCTTGAGACAAATAACCGCGGCCCAGACGTCTATCCATGACCTCCAGAATCAGCTCCAGGAAGCTCAGAACACCGCCAACCAGTCACGTGATTCTCTCGAGGCAGAACTTGGCGATCTCCGTTCGAGGAGGCGGGAAGAAGATCAGAAGCGAGTGGACGGTCGCGCTCGTATCAAGACTCTGGAAGAAACCAGGCGTCTGGCAGAGACAAGCAAAAGAGAAGCAGAAAAGAAGATGAAACTTGCCCGTAACGCCAAGGACTCCGCCATGCGTAGAGTGGAGGAATTGGAACTAGAAATTCAAGAGTTGAAGAAACGGATGGAACATGATCGTGCTGTCATTGCTGCCGCACCCAACGATGCCGACAGAGTAGAGCAAGAGGAGCTGGTCTGTGAGTTGGAAAGGAAGAAAAAGGAGGTGCGAGTAGCAGAGGAAGTCGTCGTTGCATTGAACACCCGTGCGCGAGAGCTGGAGGAGAAGATCGACGAGAACAAGGCTCGACTCCGTGCTGCGCAACAGCACGCTCAACTTACCAAGGCTTACCTCAGTTCAACTGACGCGTCTCATCCTGGCGTTGGAAGCGGCAGTGTCGTCCACCAGAGGAAACCAGATAACTCTACATGGTCTTACAACCCGTTTGACGTCGACGTAGATGATGTTCTAGCATCGTCGATGGGGTCGGAGCGTGCCCGAGGCGATACTGGGTCTGAACCGAGGGACACTTCGCGCCCTCCGGAGCATTTGGGTATTTCTTCGGGTGCGTTGTTAATTTCCAACAGCACGAACAGTGATTCGAACGTTTCACCAGTTCTCCGTGCACAGGGTCGTGCCGTCTTTGATAATGACACTTCCTGCATTGATTCGACATCACTATCCCCTCGCTCTGGTCACAATGGCTACCTCCAACCCGGACAAGCCATTCCATTCTCGCCTTTTTGTGATCCCCCAACTCCTTCGGCAGCATTCATTCCCAGTAGCTTGATCAGTGTGCTCGATTCTCCCTCGGCAGATTTGAAGGGAGGGTTCGGTATCCAGAACAGTTCTTTCACGTCCTCGCCTGTTGAATACAACGGACTCTCTCTGGAGGTTGAATCTGAGCTTAATTCGTCCGACCTTGGTCATGCCCAGTCTAGCCATGATCGATTGTCTATGCTCCAGAACACCACCCTTTACGAAGTACACGGTCCGGATGGCCTCCAGGAGGTTGCGAGGAAGGGCATGGGGGACGCCTCCATGGGGTGGTTCTCCGCTCCTAGGAATGAAAAACATCGCAGCGGTCTCAATCCAGATGCAAAAGTGTTCCGTCTTACAAGGCTTACACCGGACAAGGCCGGCAGCGCCGACACGTCCACGACTTCTGTATCCTCCTACGACGCGTTAAATCCAACCGGCCTTTCGTCCAGCATCACCTCTTCCACGCCTTCTTCGCTGCTTCGTGCTTTCGCCCCTTCTCGCGCCGAGCGCGAGGCGTTACAGCGGGCACTGGGTGGGTCGGCGAACACAAGCCTTGAACGCCTCCCAAGCCTCAGCGACGTGGGGAGTATTCCTTCTTCGCCCGCGCATGCCCACGCAGAGGCTCAAGGGAACTGCATTGGGGAGAAGGACTGTGCGCTCCCTGCGTGGCTGCAATCATTGCCGTTGATTCGGAAGCCCAATTTCAGTCCTTGGGAGGACGAGGAGGAACTGGTGTCCACCGAGATGAAGAAGTAGAATCAAGTGAAGGAGGGGGGCAGTCTAAGTTGTAATCCAGTGTTTACGTTTCAGTCGGTTGCAGGTTGCATCGTCTCGTTGAAACAAAGAAAAGCCTGGGAAGAGGTGATGGGCTGATCTACATTTCAGCTGGTACCGTTGCCTTGGCCGTATATATATCGCAATACGAGAGTATGTTGAACCATGGTTGTACTACCACCGCCCCGCGTGTCAGAGCCTCCGACGGATGACCCACTGCGCCAGACCAGCCTATATCTGTTCACCTCCAGGCTCCAACACACTGACCCGGATGCAGTCAAGACTGAGTAAGGTGCATGCCGACGGAACGGACGATACCACGCTAAGAGTAGAACCATGCATATCACATTGGCGAGCACGAAACACGGCTGCGGATATTGCTTTATAATATCCTGTCCCACTCTTCCCCTCCCTTGTCCAGCTCCGCTGCCGCAGCACCTTGCTGGCGTAGTAAACCATGATCCGACAGAATCCGACGCAGACTCGGAGATAAGACGTAACCGCACTGGCGCATTTCTGCGAGGGCTATCGAGTAGCGCGAATCCCTCGCGGCCACACACACTTGGGTGATTGCGGCGTACACCGTGTCCGAGGGGACAAACTTGAGAGTTTTCATCTCCTCGAGATAGAAGAATGCGTCGTCGTACATCGGTTGGGTCAGACAGAGCAGAATGATGTGTTCGTATGTTTTAGCATCAGGCTTGACGGCAGCTTGTTTCAGGTCCAAGAGGAGCTTGTCGCCAAGGTCACGATGCTTTGCAACGACGCAGCCCGAGAGAAGGAAATTGAACGTCTCGACATTGGGCTTGCAGTCATAGTCAGAGAATGCTTTGTAGGCACCCACGGCACGTTGCAGATCATCAAGAACGACGGATGCCTGAATGATTGAATTGAGGATGAAGGGGTCCACCGTGTTTCCCTCGCGCCGTCGTTGATCAAGCACTTGCCAGATGCCGTCGACGCGGTCTACGTCGTGTTGCAAAAACTCGGTGAACGGCCGTATTGTTTCGCTAGTTGGGTTGATGCACTGTTTACGCATTGCGTCCAGGGCGTGTAGAGCTTCCTTGAGCTTCCCATCTTTGCAGAGAGCTTCGACCAGGGGCGCGAAGTGGTGTTCGTGCCAAGGATCCACGCCCGTGCCCCGGAGCACCTGCATGACATCCAAAGCCAAATCTGAAAGACCATGACAGGCACATGTGTGGAGAACGGAGAGGCACGCCCCTTCATCGGGAGTGAGGTTCAATGCATGCACGACCTTGTGCCAGCATAACTTGACACCCTCCGCCTAACAGTAAATTACCTTCAGCCGCCGGAATGCCACCGTGAACTAGAACGTACGTAAAGCATGTCCGCAGACGATGTGAGGCATGACATCCATGTTTCGCCGCCGAGTCTGCGAGGAGAGCGGGACTCGAAATTCTGGGCAATTTCGATGGCGAGTTTTGGGAGATCCACATCTGCGGCGAGCTTTACGACTTTTTGAGCGGTGGTAAGGGGAGGAACAAGACCGAGATTGTCCATTTCATGCATATACTGGAGAGCAAGTTCGAGGCTCTCTGTGGCTGTGGCACGTCCGATGATGAACGCATACGTTTGTTCGTCTGGTTCGATACCTTGCTTTTTCATCTCGTCCATGACTTGCCACATGGTATCCGCCGAAGACCATCGGGACGCCTAGAAAGGATCAGTGCACAGCGTGGTCAGAGAGGGTTGAGCTCACGTGCAAGAGATGATGGTAGGACTGACGATCAAGTGGTATGCCCATGGCAGTCATGTCATCGACGACGGCCCAGGCCTCCAAGGGTAGTCCCTCCTGAGCGATGCATGCGAGTAGCGCGTTGTATATGATGAGATCTGGTTTTACGCCCTCTGCTTTCATCTCGCGGACCAAGCGCAACATTGGAATGAGACGCCGGTCTGCCCTGGCATGGCTGAGGGCCTCTTTCTGACAACGGGTGATTACAGTGGAGGTCCGTGCAAGGGT